CGTGTCCAGAGAAGGGCAACGAGGCTGGTGAGGGGTCTGGAGAACAAGTCTGATGAGGAGCGGCTGAGGGAACTGGGGTTGTTTAGCCTGGAGAAAAGGAGGCTGAGGGGAGACCTCATCGCTCTCTACAACCACCTGAAAGGAGGTTGTAGCGAGGTGGGGTTCGGTCTCTTCTCCCAAGTAACAAGTGATAGGACAAGAGGAAATGGCCTCAAGTTGCGCCAGGGGAGGTTTACATGGGATATTGGGAAAAATTTCTTCACCGAAAGGGTTGTTGAGCATTGGAACAGGCTGCGCAGGGAAGTGGCTGAGTCACCATCCCTGGAGGTATTTAAAAGACGTGTAGAGGTGGTGCTTAGGGACATGGTGTAGCAGTGGACTTGACAGTGCTGGGTTAATGGTTGGACTTGATGATCTTAAAGGTCTTTTCCAACCTAGACGATTCTATGATTCTACAACCACTCTGCTAATCACCTGCTGGAGGACTCAAGGAATTGCCAGACTCTCCTATCCTCACAGTAAACGCTCCAGACTGGTTCTTTTGCAGTAGCAGGGTGCATTTCCAAAGCAATGCTATCTTGCTGTTGCAAGAGGTACTGCAGTTCTTCCCTGGCCAGGGAAGAGGTGTAAGCCTGAATGTGCTGGAAGGCATCTTCTTCCACCCCAGGAGCCCAAGCACATCAGGGCTGCCGCAGGAAATCCTGAGCTACTGCTGCTTCTGTGTGGAAGGGATGTGACGGTCTCTGGGGCAGTCAGCCATGCACTTTTCTCCAAGAAAAATGGGTGTGCAAAGGGTGTGCACACTGAGAACATAGGCCCCCCCACGGGTACCACAATTTCCTGGCTGGCTTCACTATGATTACTGAAGAAAACCATAACAGTACACTGGTACCTCTCAGCCTGCTAAGAGAAATCAAAGCAGTGACCTGACAGATTAAACATCTCCTTCATGTGATACCAAATTGCACTCTGGGGTCACTGTTTGTTGTCAGCCTATGTACAGACATACACCTAGCTGTGACCTTAATCAGTAGCAGCCCAGGTAGGAAAATGCATCTATGCTGTTTCCCTTTTTATTCCACCTGGAACTCACCAGAACTGTCTTTTCAGAAACTAACTTTCTGGAACTGTCCTTGAATAGTTTTGTGGTTTGCTGCTAGGGGTATTGCAGCAAGTTGTTCATACTTAGATCTCCATGCCAAACTGCCTAATGCTGCTGATGCCGAGAGTCTTATCTTGATTCCTTCACAGATCAATGTCCTGCAGGCCAAGAAGAAGTTTGAAATACTGGATGCGGTAAGGGCTCTCTGTTTTCTGTGGCTGCTCTCAGTGACTCAATGAAAGGCAGCCCTCTCCATTTCAGGTTGCATGGGTCGACATACTGACTCCTCGGTCTGCCCTGGAGATACTGTCTGGGACTGCTCTGGGGGCTGCAGGTATGCTAACAAGAGGGGAGAATGAAGGACCAGCAAGATACTCCACAGGCCAGAACTGTGGGGACTTTCAGGGGTGAAGAACGCTGCTTTTACTGCTTTGTGCTCACAACAGGGGTTGCCTGACAGCGTGGAAGGATTTGTGAGAGGAAGAAAGGAGAAGAGGGAGAGGCATCTAATGGATAGATTGCTTTGGGAAGGGAAAGGATTAGACCTTGAGATTTATTTGTGGGTAATAAGGGATAAGGACTTTTCACGCTCACTTTGTCCCAGAACCTGTTCTGACCTTGCTGTTGTTTCCCTCCCCAGATGCTGTCCTTCATGCATGCCCAGTACACCTTTTTCCAGCAGGGCTACAGTCTTCTCCATGAACTGGATCCCTACATGAAGAAACTAGCCACAGAGGTGAGGGGACAGGGAATACAGTTGACTCAATCTGCCCGTTTGTACCCCTTCACTGTGAAAGGATGACCTCTTTCCTATTCAGCTGCCATACTGGGTAATCAGGGAGTGGTTGGAGCATCATGCTTGTTGGATGTTCGATAAGCCATGCTGCACTATGGGCTGGCAGCCAAGAGCTATGGTTACTTTCAGTGCACACCCAAACACAGCCCTTTTCCTCTCTTGTGGGGACTTCTCATGTTAGGGCTGGTGTAATCCCAGAGCAGGGAAGCAGAGATGGACAGTGGCTCATAAACCTCCTTCCTGACTTTTATACCTGGTGTTCTCCTCCCTGCCTTTAGCTGGACCAGCTGGTGATTGATTCTGCAGTAGAGAAGAGGGAGATGGAGCACAAGCACGCGCTGATACAGCAGAGGGTGAGTCCTGGGGCTGCAGCTTGGTGCAAGCAGCACCTCTCTCCATCAGTGCAGTTGTCTGGATCACACAGTGGCAACTGCCATCTGATGAGGGGCCTTGCTGGGTTAGTCCTTCACAGCCTGGAGCAGTAGCAGCAGAAATTGTTGAGATGAGAGTAATAACCTTGTGGATGCTGGGGAGGGCTAGCTAATAGGTAGGCCTGATCAAATGCAGGGCATTCAGCTACTGACACATCCGAGTACACAAGGGAGAGGGACCCAGGGAGGACCCCATGGGTCGGTACACCTGGGTTGTTTTCCCAGCTCTGCCACTGTCCTGCTCTGCATCTGAGCAAGCCTTCCTTCTACGCTTTGTCTCCCTCTTTGCTACTGAGGATGTGGGAAGAGTTAAAGGTTCATGTTCTATAAATGGCTCTGAGATGGAGGAGTGGATGTAGTTGTTTGTAATCGCCTGTGAAAACAACTTGACTGCATAGCAGAGCTGCTTTTGGGGAGAGGTTAGAGCACTCTTCTCCCACCCTTTCTTTTCTTTTTCTTTTTTTTTTTTGTCTTTTCCACTCTTCCCCCCCTTTCTCTTTCCTCCCTTCTCCTCTTTTTCCCCCAGCCTTGCATCCTTCCTCTGGCTGAGCAAGCTAGCTTTTGCCTGGCAAGCCCGATGATCTCCAGCTACTGCAGTATCAGCATGCCCCTCCTGACACTTCGCCCTGCCTCTCGCTGCCGTGCCCCATGGTGAGGCAGCAGTTCGGCAGCATGCCTGAGTGCCCAGCCCAACCAGATGGCCAGAGTCCCTGTCAAATCATCCAGCAGATGAATGAGTGGATGCACTCCTTTGGTACCCACAGACAGGACTTGCTGCAGGGCATTTTCGTCATTCATAGGGAACTCACACTGTACTGAAATGATGTTAACGGGTCGTGGGGGAGAGAGAGCAGGACTCTCTACTGCTATTGAGAGAGGAGTGTGCTGCAGTGAACTTTCACGCTCCAAGCTGCAGTTCAGATGATTCTCGCTTAGCTCCTGTGACGTGACGTGGCTACAGCCTTGAGCAGCATACCTTTGGAAGGGTCCACAGGGACCCACGCAATAGAGCTGCCGTGGCTGAGCAAGCTGTTGTTTCCAGCTGAGCTATGGTAACCCACTACGTGTGTGCTCTCACCTGCTGTAATTGGGAGTAACCATCATGAACTGGCAAGATAATAGGATTTATTATCAAACAAGTCTGAGCCTTCAGTAGGGAGGCATCTTTGGTTAATGTGGGCTCTGATTTTCCAGACCGTTCATCTGGGAATGATTCCAAATCTGAGGCTTGTAGAAACATCAACTAATCTTTTTTTTCTTTTCCTTCTCTTCTTGGATTGCTGATCTGCCCCTGCAGACCCTCCTGCAGGTGAGTACCCACATGAATTTCCTTCTTCCTCCTTCATTGCTCAGAATTAGCACTTTGCTGCTCTGGATATTTACTAAGTCCTGCCTTTGAAAGGGAAACAAAGAAACCTTGCCCATAGCATTACTGCTGTAACCTGGACACGTAATTTTAAAACCCAGTTTCAAGTGAGTTTGGCTTCATCCTCATCAAAGTTGTTTTCAGTCCTGGGCTAAAATAAGATTTCAGTTCCCTCTACTCTGTATGGTGGTCAGTCTTGACTCGGAGTTCAGTATTGCAGTGGCAGCAGTACTTGGAGGTGAATTGACTGCACAGGCTCATAACAGAGGGCGTTGGTGGACTTTCAACACACACACCCACACCCTCATGCTCCGTGGGGACAGTAAGAGGGGATTTCGGAGAGCCCTGAGAAATAGCTGTTCATGAACCAAGCCCTGAGTAGGAATCGCTAAGGAGTGCATACCTTGTAGGCACTTGTGTGGATCAGTACTTCTCAATAGGAGGAATCTAAGTGGCTGTTGTTTTCTTTCTAATTCTCTCTCTCAAAAATGTCATAACCCACCAAATGGAAACATAACCGGATTTGAAAGCTAATGACAGACATTCCCTGTGAATCGGCCTGTGCATATGCTCCCTTTTGGTTAAGTGTTCTGAGGGAGGGGTAAATCCATTTGTGAACTCTCAGTTCCCCTGGGACTCTGCTGGAGTGATGACTTCATTCGAGGGAACATGGAAAGTCTCTCTAGCGCAGTGCATTTCAGTTAAATCTCTTTACGTGGCTTTGCTGACTGGACTAGCAGGGAATGAAGGAGAGGTCAGGTTCCAAGAGGGAGAACGAGCAATTACTCCTCATCAGGATACATATGCATAGAGCTGTGGCTCTCTGTGTGCATAAGCTTGTGAGAGAGCTGAACATGAACATCCCTACTGCAATTTAGGATTTAAAGCTTCCTGCCTGGAAATGTGAGACTGCTTTTCAGCTACTCTGAGTCAGTGTTGCTCCTCCCTTTGCAATGGAGCATGGCACTCTGCCTCTGGTGAGCATCTCGCCATCTCCAAAGGGAGCACAGCACGTGTTTGAATATATGTCTTCATGCTGCGCCTGGAATACCCTCTGGTCCCTTAAAAAATTTGGAGGTTTAGTTGCGCTTAATTAGAGAGGAGTGGCAGAAATACCCTTTTTTCCTCAACACAGTGTCTTCCCAAACAGCCTGCTAAGGCATGACAAAAAGGGAGAGAATCCAGTTTAAATAATACATTTTGAAGTGTTCTTGGGGTGGGGGATCTGTGCAGATTCTGAAGATAGGGCCTTGCTCATTGAGTTGTCTTTCGGCAGCTTTGTGAGGCATGGAGGGCAGCCTTCCAAGAGCCAAGTTCATAAGGAAGTGGTCGGTGGCATTTTGTTTCATTATTTTTAATTATATTTTTAATTAAAATAGATTTGGTAGGAGAGAGAACCTCAGCACAAATCTTGACTATTTTCTTTGATACTGGAATTCAAGTGTCTTTTTCCTATGCCATCCTTTCCCCATCTTCCCTCATGGAACATCTGCCACCTTTGGGACAGATTCCTAGGGCAGCTATCATTTCAAGCTGTCATTTTACCCGCTGCCCTCTGCCTTCCTAGCTCCAAAGCCTTAAAGAGCTCCATTTGCAGCTTCACCCTTAATATGAAAATAATGCTCATTTATACAAAAAGGGTTCCAATAAAATCGGCAAGAGGAAAGGAAGAGTCTCAATTTTTATGGGCTACAATAAATATTTGAGTTATCCTCCCGTTGTGCAAAGAGAGAGGAGAGCTTCGGCGTGAAGTCTGGGGGTGCCTTTCTTCTGACTGTGTGTGGGATGCATGTGTGCAAGGACTGCAGTACGGAATACATTTCTGCAAAGGCTGAGGAGATAGTCTTGTAGCCTCCCACATTTCTCCTGTGTGTTGAACTAAACTATCTTAAACCACGCATATAATTAATTTGTATGTTTTTATGTGGGCTCAGTTGCTTCAGATGGATGCACAAAGACACACAGGGCCTGGTGTAGGTTGGACCACTTAGGAGAAAAATTTTGGAGAACTTAGCACTGGAACACACAGACCAGGGACTTTTTTCCAATGGGAAATGAGGAGAGAAACAGTAACGTTTAAACCAGTCCTCCCTCACAGATCCTGACCTTCCTGAATCCTTCCACTGCACCAAAACTGACAGGCCAGTCTCTGAAAGTGGAAGAATACAGGGCTATATAAAAGCTCCTTTGCAGCCTCATACCTATTCCCCGGGCCAGAGTAGTGGGGGAAGCAATTGTGCTTCTGTTGCCTGTTTGCACGGGAAGGGAGGATGGAGTGCCGAGGCAGAGCTCTCTGCCTCGTTTAGTTCAGCTGGTAGATAACAGACTAGGGGCCGTATGGCACTTCAACACCCGGATTTCTGTGGCTGCAGTGGAGCAGGGGTGGAATTACTGGCCAAAGGGTGGCTCTGCTCCAGGAAGCTGGGGGAAGCAGACCCCGCTGAAGGCAGACAAGCCTGGCTCTGTTAAGGTCAGGGAGGCATTCGGTGAGCGTCTTCCTGTCAACTTTGCTCTGTGTTGCCTGGCTTCTCCCACTCCCTTCTGTGCCTCCATGACAGCTGTATGGTAATTAGCCCTTGCTCTAAGCTGATTGACTTTGAATAGGAGGCATGAGGAGGGGGTAAGCAGGTGGTCCCCAGAGGCCAGCAGACTTCCTTCGCCTAGTGCCCCTTGCTTTGACAGGAGCCAACGGCAGAGCTTATAGCTTCCCAAAAAGGAGTAGGAGGGGTAAAGGAGAAGGGGCTGAAAAAGAAATCCCTCCTTCCTTGCCAGCCCACGGTGCTTAGCAGAGATGCTACTCTGGAGAGCGAACAGAGAGAGAGAGAGAGGACACGCAGAGCTGCTCCCTGCTCTCTAGGCAAGAGCAGCAAAACCTCCCTTGCAGCTGGCATCATGAAGATTTTCGGCAGGCTTGAATACCTCCTGGTAAGGAGACTCCTGCAGGGTTGGTTTGACTTGGGGAGAAAGTTTAGAGGGCACTTTTCTCTGGGGCAGCAAGGATTGTGCCTGTAGGACCTTGCTTGCTGATGTGACTCAAAAGCAAGTACAGCTTTTTTACTGCAAGAAAGCAAATGTGTTTGGTCCTGTCTGTGGGATGGAGAAGCTCTGGGGCAGGGCACAGATCTCTGTGCATCGTCTGCTGGCAAGCTGCAGAGCAGGAAGATCATTTGGCATTAGGAAATTCAAGAAACAAAAGGTCTGTAAATGGGATTTGGCCGGAATGAATGAAAGCTGTCTGTGCAGAACGGGAATGTAGGTGGGGGAGCCCTCCTCCAAATTCCATCTGCCTCTGAGGGTCTTGGATTGTACACAGTATATGCACAGAGGTAAAAACAGCCAGATAGAGAAATGCTTGAAATATATTCAGGCACCAGAAGAGGACAGAATGTGCGTGCACCAGTGTTTGTGCAGAAGGGGTTTGTGTGCATCTTTAGGGAATGTGAATATTCCTCTGAATTATGTTCTCTTTAGAATCGAATAGCCAAACTAGTCACATACAATTTTTAACTCGCCTCCAGGATAAGTTCTTTTCAATGCATGGATGTATACATAATGTTGTTAGAGTGTGCATAATATTATTGTTAAATACCGAGCATCACTGGGTACTTAAGCAAAGAGGGCACTTTTGGATAAAGCCTTTGTCTTCTGTGAGGGAAAGCGTGTATCGCATGTGTTGTCACTTATCCTAAATGGTACTGATTGAAAATAACATGGAGGTTTGGTAGTAAGATATGTTTCTCTGAGTATCTGAAAACACCTGGACTGAAATGATTTACTGGTTGTGATTGCCTAGTTTTGGTAGTGTTTTCTATCAGTAGAAATCAAAACATTTGTACAGAAAAGGACAGTATTGTTATTTCCACGTTGAATTGATACACTGAGGGAGTAATGCTATGGCTTTTCAAGGAGGGCCAGTGCCACAGTGATTGTATTTTAAAGCATTTTAAGGAAGTCTTGGTATTTTAGAGAAAGGTTCTATCTGTTCTCAGCAAGGTGGTGTGCCCTTTGGGATAGGAATGAACCTATAAACAAGACCTTCCTACTTCAGTGGGTATGCTCTTAGGCAGGGCTTCTTCCTTAGAAGACTCCCCCCCCGCCCAAGGATTCCAGGCTGATGAGGGGCATCATCACTCTTCATATTAAGTCTGTTCACTGAAGCTTGAGGTTTATTTAATTTCATCAGCCATTTTCTCTGCATGAAATGCTGGCTTCACAGGAGCAATTGGAAGAGCTTCTCTGGCCGCTGCAATGCAAGCAGTCTCTGTGCATGCCGTGTGGAGACGGACGAGGGAGTTCTTAACTGAGTGGTTCATGAGGCAACCTTCAAATAGGCTTTTTTCTTTTTTTCTTTTTTTTTTCTTCTTTCATGGGTCTGTTTGTGCCTGTGCTGGGTTTTTGCTTTCCATTTGCTGGTTTGAAAGTGTACGCATTAACGTCCTTTTTCACATCCCTATGGATGTGTCTCTTGGAATGTGTTACTTCATTGTTGCCTCAGCAGCATTCAGTGTGCTCCCATGGAAACTATTGTGATGTCATTTCTAAAAGAATATCAGTTCCCAGGCAGCCTCGTGTGTGAACTCAGAGTGACAGGACTGAGAAGGGGAGGGGACAGTGAGACAAGATTGGTGTGATTTACTGAAAGTTGGTGAAGGAAAGGGAAGCAGATGATGGCAGAGATCTGGTTTCTTATTTTGGAAGACGTCCGATTTATTTTACCAATGTGTGATCCAACATGTCACTGCTGTTGCTAATCATGATTGCATATGCAGCTGTAGCCAAAGCCATTCAGATCCCAATTCTAGGAAGCCTTTTCCGTGTCAAGCATTTTTTCATATTACTGAGACAATGAGGTGCTAAATGCAGACTTAATAAATCAGTCCAAACTCATTTAGAGCAGACTTGCATACTCCGTGTACATTGCAATGATGGGAGGAATTCGGCAAAAGGTAGTTTATTAAAATCATGCATTAAAATCCCATGTATAGCAGGAAATGGAAAAAGAGGGGACAAGAGAAAGCATACGTGTGCACTCTCTTACCCTGCTTTGTCAAGGGTAAGATTTGAATCAAGAAAGTTACTTTGAATGTTGCAGAACGGGTGACTCATTCCTTCTCCACCGGCACCTCCCAGGCATCATGGCTTGGCTTACAAGGTTGGAAGGTTTTTATTTCCTAGATCTGTGTGGAGTCAGACAGTCCACAGATGCGCTGCATCCCTTGTAGGAGTCAGAGAGACTTACCGATGGCATAGCTGATGATGTGCTTGGCAGGAGCTGCGTCCGTCAGCCAGGACTCTTCGACTTGTTTCCCAGAGCTAACAGGATCAAACTCTTTTTGTGTCGACGAATAGAACAGATACAGGGACACGTTAAGGGCCGGTCTGCCAGTTAAGGGCATTCATTGTCACACATCTGTGTGTATCCAGCTGTGGCCACACACTACCATGATGTTTCAACATCATTGGCAAAATGATCTCCTCAGTTTCTAAGCTAGCTTTGACCTGGAATTGGGTTTCGACAGATGTTCTTGTAACTTTTTTTCCAGAAATTTGTCCTCTCTTTTCAACGGCTGTGGTAAGAAAGTTCCCTGGATGGGTGTTGTGGTTGAACCCGGCAGGCAGCTAAACACCACACAGCCGTTCGCTCACTGCCCCCCCACCTCCCAGTGGGATGGGGGGGAAGTAAAATTCGTGGGTTGAGATAAAGACAGTTTAATAGGACAGAAAAGGAAGGGAAAATAATAATAACAATGATAAAAGAACATACAAAATAAGTGATGCACAATGCAATTGCTCACCACCCGCTGACCGATGCCCAGCCAGTCCCCGAGCAGCGATCACCACCCCCCCGGCCAACTCCCCCCAGTTTATATACTGAGCATGAGTCGTATGGTATGGAGTAGCCCTTTGGCCAGTTTGGGTCAGCTGTCCTGGCTGTGCCCCCTCCCAGCTTCTCGCTGGCAGGGCATGAGAAGCTGAAAAGTCCTGGACTAGTGTAAGCACTGCTCAGCAACAACTAAACCATCGGTGTGTTATCAACATTATTCTCATCCCAAATCCAAAACACAGCACTGTACCAGCTACTAGGAAGGAAATTAACTCTATCCCAGCCGGAACCAGGACAATGGGCTACAGCAAGAAGATGTGCCTAGGAATCCATTGTTTAAGTTCACTCGAATGTGCTGGAAGTTTCACAATTGCACTTGCCATGATCTTGCCTTTCAGCTACCTGAGCCATTTCTCTACGTTTCCCTTTTGGCCTTTGCTTGGCAGGGACAGGAAAAATGATACTGATCAAGGGGATGATTTCTGGATATTATTTTTTTTTTCACCCTTCCCTTTCCCTTACTTCATTTGTCTCTCAACACTCAATAACTTTGTAGCAAAGACTTCAGGTGCTTCCAAGCAGAGTGCAATGGAATAGAACAAAGTGCCTCAGGATCAGACTGCCGCATGCCCCGGGGCTAAGAGGCAGAGTGGTCCTTATCCCTCGGATCTCTCCCTTGATTTGTACCTACTCTACAAATCCAGTTTACAGCTCTGGTCGATGTATTCTGCCCTCAACTGCCCTGCAGTAGTTCTGTTGATAGCAGTGGAGTAGCTCAGGAATTACACCAGCAGAAATACGAGCAGAATTTGGCCTAGGGATGTTTCCTAACCAATGAGAGGACAAGGAAGAGAAATATCATCAGTAATGCAAACACAAGCCATTCTTCCCAGCAATGTGTTTCTGTGTTTGGACATCATCCAGATGGCTCTCTGTCATCTTAGCTGTATATGCACTTGGTGGTTTTGTGTATAACTTTCTTGTTCTAAAACTGGGCTTGGTGCAGTTTAGAGTTCTTTCAAAGGCAAGGAACAACTCCATGTGCCTTCGGCTGTTTTGCTTTAGCCCTTCAATTTGTAGAGAGGTGTAGCGCAATACAGAATTTAACCAATGAGGTTAAATTCACACCTGGCTCAGCTCCACTGATTTTTAGTGGATTTACTCTAGTGACGTATATGGCCCATCTGTTCCTCCTGCACTCATCAGCAATATATCCTTCTTACCATCACACTGCTTGATTATATAAGGCCAGCTGAAGTCAGGTGATTATATTTAGACCCTCCCCCTTATTTTTACCTCTTCCACAAAGTGAGGCGCAGCTAAGTGGTCATTTTTAAGATGTGCTTGGAAGGGTTTTGCCCTACACTTGCTGTGCACTTTTCAACAAAGTCCAGATTTTTGGATGTTTGCATTATTTATTATAAAACAGTGCAGATTCTCATCAAATGTAGAGAATTGTCATTTTGGAGCAGCTCTACAAAAATCACACATTCAAATATCTACGAGTTAGAGGAAAATTCCCTCTAGCCTTTGTTTGCAATAGGTACATGAAAGACATCTGCAGAAGAGGACCCCCATGGGATTCACCCTCTTATGGCAAGAAAATTTGGGGCTGAGCAGCCCTCTCTTAATTGGGTGCCTTACAGCAGTTTCTAGGGTCTAATTGGGCATCACGCTGCCTTTCCAAGGAATGACTCGGTCCTGTCCCATTATATCTCCTCCTTCTGTATCAGTAGTATTCTTATTACGACACCTCCCAGGCAAGCTTGCATCTCTGAACATGAAAATAACTCATCTTAATGAGAGTGAAGTGCATGTTGCCTAGCAACACAGCATCACAAGGGTCTTCGTATGCTGAGCTAGGAAAGGCACTTAAGTTAATGGGGCTGTTTTCACTGCGCTGTTGTTTCTTTGAACCAAGTAGTACAGGGAGAATTATTCGTGCTCAAGAGAGAGGGAGGTGTGGGTAGAATGCATCATCGGAGTGGAATCAGTGTGCAAAGAGACAATATGCCATAGCTCCCCAGGTTAGAGGGGAAAGTCATTTAGGTTTCATGACCTAGTTTCTCTTGGGAAGGAGGCAGACCACTGCCCAGGGAGAAGGATCTGTGTTCTGTGAGAGCAGCTGCTATTCTCTCTGCTCTGTGTCTTGCCCACCAGCTGTCAGAATCCATGAGATCTATCTGATGAATCAGTGCCAAACCTGACAAATCAGCTCTGACTGGTAGCATAGCATAGAGAATTGAGTGAGCGCAGATTGGAGATGGCATATGATGATAACTAATGAAAATGGAATTGATAAGTCTTCCCCTCTAGAAATAATTATGCCTGTTTTCCTTGTGTGAAAAGGCTGGGGTTTGTTCTGTTCCTGGCCCCTTGCAGAGCAGAGGGGTGGCAGCAGCATTGCTAACTCACTTGGCCAGTGAAAAGCACCTCTATTGCTTTATTTCCCATTGCAGATGGCCCCAAATGTTGGGAATTTTTAGCCCTCATGATGATAATCTACCTGCCTTTCTCCTTCTCAGCTACCAGAGCGGGGAAATACAGCATGTATAGCACTTTCCTCCAAACAATAGGGACAGATAAGCTTATTGGAATGAGGATAATTCATGGCTGCAGCCCACTAAGGCATAGGGATGTGCTGTGACAGACAGCTCTGCCTGAACTTTAGGATCTTGACAGATATTTTTCTCTTCCTGATGCTTTGATCAGGCTCATCTCCATCTCGGTCCTGGAGAGTGCAGTCATGGTAGAGTCTCAGTCTCTTTTTATTTGCAGGACTTCTCCTATGATGACTCAAAGGTGGAGTTTAATGTTGATGCCCCGAATGGAGTGGTGATGGAAGGCTACCTCTTCAAGAGAGCTAGTAATGCTTTCAAAACATGGAATCGGTGAGTAATAACTCATGTTCCATTTGATGTTTGGGCTAAGACTGAACAGAGCTAATACTGCCTCCACAGGAACACACTTCGCTTTTAAGTGAGATCTTGGCAACTGTTATCATCACTGGAAGGATTCTGAGCTAAGTAGTTAAAAGCTAAATAGTTAAAATGAGGTTGGTTTGATAGTTTCTGCATACAGAGACTTTTCTTTTAGGAGCATTTTGCATGCAGGTTGAGGGAGGTGATCCTCTCTAGCACTGGTGAGGCCACATCTGGAGAACTGTGTCCAGTTATGGGCTCCCCAGCACAAGAAAGATATGGACTTACTGGAGGCGGTCCAGTGAAGGGCCACGAAGATGATTAAGGGGCTGGAACATCTCTCATATGAGGAAAGGCTGAAAGAGCTGGAATTCTTCAGCTTGGAGAAGAGAGGGCTCGCGGAGGGATCTTATCAATGTGTAAAAACTCCTGATGGGAGGGAATGAAGAAGAGGGAGCCAGACTTCTCAGCAGTGCTTAGTGACAGGACGAGAGGCAATGGGCACATATTAAAAATGTGAAATTTCATGTGAACACAAGAAACTGCTTTTCTACTGTGAGGATGGTCAGGTAGTGGAGCAGGTTGCCCAGAGAGGTTGTGAAGTCTCTATCTGTGGAGATACTAAAAGCCCACCTGGGCACAGTCCTGGGCAACCTGCTCTAGCTGGCCCTGCTTGAGCAGGAGGGTTGGACTAGATGATCTGAAGAGCTCCCTTTCAACTGAAGTGATTCTGTGATTCTGCTCAGAACTTGTTGGCTGCAAGTAAGACCAGAACCTGAAGCCACGTTAGGGTAATGCTGCACCTGAGTAAGTCCTCCTGAGAGAAACAGTATCTCAAGAGAGATTAATGTAGCCTTATCAACACACTGACCTGGCTATGTGGTGCCAAGTCAGCTCAGAGCAAAAGAGGAGTAAGCATCTGCTTGATTGCAATGGTGTTTTAAGACCACATAAATTTTCTACCAGCGCGTTTGCAAGCTCAGCACATGAGTTATAAGCCACTCGCTTTGCAGGTCTTTGATACTGGTGCGTTGGAGACATGTACATTAATCAGTAAAAGAGCTAGATGCTGTGTAGTTTTCGTGATTATTATTTTCCTGTTCAAAACCAAGTATGCTTCTTTCTGTGAAGCTGTATATTCCTCTTAGGCTGCACCATGGAATGAGCCAGCTCATGTTTTGCTGCATCTTAGTAAATGCCAGGGAAAAAAAAGGTGTGCTTTCCACAATGGAAGAATGACCAGGTTCCGTGCAGGGAAGATAGGGCTCAATGCAGCTTGAGTCTTGCCCTAGGAAAGCTGTAAATTCATAACAATTAAGAGAAATAGCCTAACACAACAGGATATGCCATGAGTATCAAACCTGTCTATTCTGGGATGGGGAGATAGGCGACAGTGGAAATATCAGCTGTGCTGCCGGGAGCTGAGAAACAGCTTTCTGTGCACTGACCCTGCTCTTAATAATTTATAAATATTTCATCTGATAGGTCACTGGGTATGCCAGGCTCATATGCCTCCTGCACTAGTCGGGAGTCTCCACAGCTGCCAGAGACCTTGGGAAGGTGGAAGCAAAGGTTTCACGTTCTAGCCTTGCTCGATATTTGTGTGTTTAGTTTCCCTTGAGATAGTCAATGGGTTTCATACACGGTTGTGTGAAAGGATTCAAACCCTTCCAGTGAGTTTCTAATGCATGAAATCAATGCCTTTTTGACCTACATTTCCTCCTCTCGCATAACAGGGAAATGATACAATATTAAGATATCTTTTACTTGGCTATGGGATACATTCAAAGTACACACCACAGCAAGGCTGAAATGTGCTGTTGTTAGACTTTGGAATAAATAAACACTAAATGGTTCAGCGAACAGTTTGTAATATGCACAGAAACTGCCTGTATTTGCATGGAAAAAAGACTTGAAACTCTTAGAGGTGTCTGAATTGGTTAGATAAGCGATTCCTTCTCTCTGAAGCTTCCTCTGGTACTAAGGAGATTCCAGGCAAATTTAGTATAATTTTATTACCCCTCAGGCTCTCTGGTCCCTTGACAGTTAAGTACTAAGTTTGCACTTGGAGGAACTAGAAACCGCAACAGCAGCCACAACACAGTGCATCACGCTGTTGCACTGGGAAGGTATCTTAGCTGAATTTTTCTCAACCTGTCAGGATTTCCTGCTTGGTGTTTCCTAAGCAAAGTATCGCCTCGGTCCATAGTCTGTCGCATGGCTGCTTTCACTGACACCACGTGTCTTTGCGGAGCAGAAGGTCATTCCAAAATGTGTCAGGCTAATGTCAAGACCCGTGCTTGACTCTTGTGATAGAGATGAATGGTTCCAGGCAACTCCATTCTCCTTTCAGCTCCCCTGGCTGTGAATGCAGGGGTCACTCCAGAGGGCACTTCTCCTGGAGGGATCATGACCGTTTGGGACTTTCTGGTTTTCCTGATGTCTGAAGTAATGTTAGTGTCAAGGGCTCCAAGTTTTCCCTGTTCCCCAAATCCCAGCTATCCTCCCTGTATCCTCCTACGTCCCAGTCATACACGGTCTGTATCCTCCCTACAGCCATCTCTGTCTCCTCAGTCCCACCCACTCTTAGCCATATCTGCCCGCATCTGAGCTATTCCCAGCTTCTGTAGCCTACTCATCACCTTCTTGCTGTCACTCAGCTATTCAGTGTTAGTGCCTCCCCCTCATGTGAGCGGGAGGGGGCAGGCAGAGAGAACAGCAAAATCCCCAGTTCAGGATATCAGGCTAAGAGCCAGTACCAGGCAGAAATGCGTGCTCTGGGGTGGTGAGCAGGAGCGCACAGCTGCAAGGAGCAGGAGCAGAGACCAGAACCTGAGACACAAACTTTCTGCTCAGCTTCATGTGACAGCAGAGCTCCGTGAGAGTAGGCTGCTACTGTCACAGCAGCTCAGAGCGATGCAGAACCATATCAGCTCATCAAAATGGGCTCCCTCATAGATGGGATGGCCTCCAGTTACCTGTATTTGCCTGTTTCTCCACAGACATGTCAAGTCCTTTTGTTGTCTTTTATCTCTGTTTAATATTTCAGCAATGACAAAAGAAAGAGAATCCTGTCTCATCTCATTTTCCCAGGGAACCTAGTTCTTTTCCAAACGGCGTGTGTAATACATGCTCAAAATAACAGCTTGCTGCAAGGCTCTCCGACTCTTTATGCTCAGGTATTCCAGTACCTTCTTCCTGAAGCTTAGTGATGGTCATGGCTTCCGTTGCCCTCCATGAAGATGATCAGGTTGCTAAATCTTAGGCTGTGTCTTGGGATGAGGAAGTGACTTGGGGGTTTGGATTTAGCACCGAAGATTAAGACACCAGGGAATTACCTCTGCTGTCAGCATCACATGGACCTTCTGTAACTTGTATTTTAATGGAAAGCTGCTAGCTGGTGATTTGTTGCCTCCTAAGAAGGTAGACTCCCTCCACATACACCTGTCCTTACTCTAGCCATAGGAAACAGGAGCTTTGGTGTTGTTTGGCCTCCCATAGGCTGTAGTGGGTACAAAGAAATCAGCCTGGTGGGTAGCATAGCCTATATAAACTGCAAGATGTGCAACTCATTCGTATTATTTTCTCCAACACTGTTTGTAGAGCTGCCAGTTAGCAGGGTTTTCTGAGATGGGTTTTTCTTTTTCCCACCTGGGTTTCTTCGTGATGTCAAGAAATTTCTGGCTTGCCTTATGACAGCCTGCTTGGAGAGGCAGCAGGCACACTGCATCTGGCATGGCATGTGCAAGTAATCCAGCTTTCCCAGTAAATGTCAAGTATGCCCACTGTGCACATACGCAAGTACAAGTGTGCCTCACCAGTGCAACATGTCCCACGGGCACTGGATTTACTACCTGCACCAGGGCCAGTGTGCACACACAGACTTCTGCCCCAGAAATCCTAGGCAGTAATACGGGACTGCCCTACTCCTTTGCTTCTTCCCTTCTTTCCTTCCTTCTTGCTATACATTGACATATCTAGAACACTTGCCATCACAGCATCTCAATGCCAGGAGTCATTCCCTAGGGCTGTAAATTCTTTGTTCTCTGAGGGAGGGCACTGGAGAAGTGTGAGCTTTTCTTATGACATTACTTTCCAGCTTCTTGGAATAAATTACACTCTTTTTAAATGCAGAGATACCCTGCTCTGCCACAGAACAAGCTGCCTCTCTGTATCTCAGCTGTTCCCTTGTTCTGATGTCTGTCTGTCTGTCTGTCTTCCCTCAGGAGGTGGTTCTCCATACAGAACAGTCAGCTGGTGTACCAGAAAAAGCTAAAGGTCAGTGAGGCTACCCCAGACGACACTGGCAGATTAGCCAACTTGTCTGGTATCCTGCTTTGCTGGGGACTTCTGTACCATGGCGGGAGAGTGGGGTGGAAGGAGTGGGGAGGGAAATTGGATCAGAGGGACAGCAAGCCCATTCAGGCATTATTGTGCTCCAAAGTTAGACTGTACTGAGAACTAAGTGGCAGCACATGCTGTTTGTGGTGATCTAAATATTCCTGTT